CTCACCGTCTTGAGTGCATATGTGTCCAATATTTGGCAGTTGTTGTGGCTTTGTTGGCTCGGTGTCATTTTGGGTTTGGCCACGGCGGTGAGCTTCCCAGGCAGCGGCAGCAGAATGTCAATGAGGAGGCACTGAATGAACCCGCATTAGCTGCTTTATCTCTTCTGGCAGGCAATATGTTCCCAGTTGGATTCTAGCCCCAGATTCCTGGACAAACTATGAGCCGAGCTGTTAGACAGGACAAGCTCGGTCCAAGAGATAAAGTCAGAGACGGGCATGGGGGAGGATTTTTATGTTGGTTTCAGAAAGGTAACTAATAATGTATTCATTTGTGTCTCCATCCCATTCCTCTTCCCACGTCGTCCTCTCTCTTGTCCTCCCCTCTATCATCTACATGTTTTCTCTGTCTGTGTTTCCTCTCCCTCTCTGGTTTGCTCCCCCGCCTCCCCCCTCCAGCCCTATTACACCAACAGGGCCACCCTGCCACCCAGCAGTGGGCCTCGGGGCGTCCCTCCCAACAGCGGCCCTCGGCCTGTGACGCCCACCCACGTCTACCAGCCGGGCCCCGGATCTCAGATGATGATGATCCCCGGGCAACAATTGCCCTTCCCCAGCTCGCCGCAGGGAGCAGCCTACTTCATACCGGGACAGGTAGGGGCGCACAGACCGGGGCGGGGGGGGCGGCGGCGGCAGCAAGTAGAGACTTGTTTACTCATCTTAACATTAGAACCGATCATCCCGACCTGACTGTCTTCCTGCTTCTTCCTCCTCTTTGTTTCCTTTAGTACCGGTCAGCGACCTACGTGGCCACGCCCCAGCAGTACCCGGTCCCAGCAGGCACCCCCGGCTTCTACCCCGGCACCAGCCCCGCTGAATATGGTACTTATGGTAAGAGGCTCTACCTGGGGCCTCACCTGAGCCACTCACCCTCACACACAGAGAGACACACTCGGACACGGGAGCCGTTGCTGGTTAGAAAGCCAAACAAGTTTTAGTGAAACTAAAAAGGTAGAAGGATTCAAAGAAACGATTCTCAATGCAGCTCAATTTTTTTCTGATAATACTGCACATGGCTGCTTTTTCAAGAATCAACACAAGCAGTCGGATAAATGTGAACTCTCTTTTTATTTAGAAAGTGCTAAAATTGGTCCAAATATATAAAGCTGCATCGATCTGTGTGAGCGACCTCGGAACATAAATAAAACGTAAATCCTGTGAGCTATAATCAACAAAAACAAGGTTTTCACAAAGCAGCTCTAAGACGGGGCACTTCCTGGATGCCTGAGGTATGTTACACTACACGAGTTATTCCAGCAGACATTTTCTCTTCTACTCTTTTCTGGTTTAAGTCACTGCATCTCCCCACAGAACATCTTCATGGTTGACAACAGAGCAGCTAATGTTATACAGTAGACGAGAGCAAAACAAAGACTCGAGATGAAACGGAACTCCCGATTATGTTCCGTCTCTTCATCGATGCAAAGTCGTCCACATCGCGATGCATCTCCTAGTAAAGACTTTTCTACACGTCTCCTCTACTGGCATGCTAAAAATAACCTTCCCAGAACATGAGTAGACTTTCCCGTCACTTCTATTGAAAGACATTTGTTGTTGTTGTTGTTTGTGATACTCTCGGGCGCTCTGGACTTTGTCCGTCTGCTGCTCCCCTCTGGCCAACACCTAAACTTTCCTGTTTTGTATTTCTCCTTATATCAATGTTTACAGAAGAGCTCTTGTCTTCCTTTAATAACTCACAGACTCATAGAATTATAATTGTTGCTCAGGACTAGTTAATATGAAAATGTGTTGTACCTGCTATCAGACTTCATGAACTTTACTTTTATTTAATTCCCATATCTGCTCCTAAATACAGTAGCACTACAGATGTGTGCTGGTGATCCCGTGTGTTGTGACCCCCTCTAGAGGTTGCTGAGTATTGGTGCATCACAAGAAAACAAACTTGCTGAACCCCCCCCACCCCAGCAGCAAGCATCCCAACTATGTGTTGTGTTTGTTTAAAGTGTAGCTCATCAGCAGTACAATGCGCTGGCCTGAATACAGGACTGTAAACACAGTTCTTCCTGATGGGCTTTCCATTTCACGCCCTATTGTACATCAGCGTGTGAGCTCTGTACGATGTGCACGGTGCTTTAGAAACACCTCTGCACCTGCGTGTGCATATTTGAAGAAAAAAATGCAACTAGAAATTAAAGAGTGTAGTGAAAGGTTATAAAATCTATTGTTGGCAGACTCAAATCGTCGGCTTATTCATACTTCTGTCTGTTTATTAAAGGACAGTTGGTGTGAAATGCAGCAGGCAAAAATAGGTTACTTGTTTTAAGTGTAACTGGTTTATATTCAGGTAGAAAACACATCATAATACTGTGTATATATACTGTGTATAATACAGCTGACCGTAGATCTGTTAAATCGAATATACGGTATTCTGTCAAAGGGGATTGTCTTCATGTCGCAGCGTAACATTACAAGTATTTATGTTAGACTTCACCCTAAACTCTCTATCTAGAGAGATCTAGGTTATGAGGATGCAACGAGAGAAATCCTTCCTGCATAATGTGGAGGACTCTGCTTTTTATTTGTTTGTCGCTTTGAATACAAGAGTGTCTGCTAAATAAATGTAATGCGTCAACTCCCTCAGGCGTGTCGGCCTATAAAGTTCACCTATAAACTTAGTCCCTGTCTGTCTTTTTAAAGTATTTTATATAAATCATAAACATGTACTGTGAAGACTTATTGTTCTGTACTTCTGACTCAAATTAAAGCGACACGAAATGCAAATTCCAGAAAAACAGATCACCTCTGAAATACTTGACGATCTCTTTCTCCTTTATGGCAGCGCACCCACGGCTGGCCTCACACGTCCGTTCTGTTTGTTGGTCTCTGCCAGACTTGGTGCTAATTTACTGGATTTGTGAGAGAGCTGTTGTGCTATTGGTGTGTTCGTGTTGTCACATGACCCCAAAATAACCGGTCATGTGACAGTGAGAGAGTTTCAAACTCCTGGTCTCTCATGGGCTGGACCACTGTGTCGGCTGTGAAGGTGTCCAGGGCTGTGTCAGGTTTTATCAGGAAACGAGAAAAGCAATGCAGATTGATTGTTTACCTGGAAATGATTTTGGCTTTTTGCCTCGAGGAGCTACCACCATACCGCTCCGCTAACACCCCCCTCTGGTCCTCTAAGTGGTGCAGTCTGTCTGACCATTGACTCCTTTTCTAGCAGTCAAGTAAAACACATACACCGTGCTGACGGAGTACGGTGACTATTTTTAAGACCCCCCCCCACCCCTCCCGAGCTGAGTGATTTGCTCCGCTCATGCCGCATACGTGTGCACACTCGCAGCCCACCCCTCTTTGTAGTAGCTGGTGATGCCAGCACGGATCAGATCACAGGGGGATACACGCAAACCAGAGCCACTTTCAATGACACAACTGAATAGTTCAGCTCGGCTACCAGTGTACACTGTGGAGGGAGGGGGAGACAGAGAGGGAGGGAGGGAGGTTAAAAAAACAAGTGAAAGACAAGAGAGGAATCAGGAAGGTCAGAGGGAGGAGCGACATGCTGGAAGAGGGAGGGCTGGGTGTTAAGAGGAGTTGTTCTGAGAGGGCACCTGTAGAGAGGACAGGAAGAAGTTCAGAGAGGGGGTTTGAACAGAAACCCCCTCTCCTTTTTTTTTTTTTTTCCTTCCTCTGTCCGTTCACAGTTCTGCATTCAGCAAGCGTTCAACATGGGGAACCGAGGGTCTCGAGAGCAGCAGGACTCTGAGGGTAGGTGTCATCTTGACTCTCTCGTATTTAGAGTATCGGGGCGCCGTCCAACAAAAGTCTCATTCTGCCTTTCTAATTTTTTTTAGCACACTATGTTCCCCCTTTCTTTCCCTCTTTCTCTCACTCCCTTTCGTCTTCCCTCCCGTTCCCTCTCGTGCGCGCTCTCTTCCCCCAGCCGGTGTGGTGTTTTTTTTGCCTATATTTAGGCTGCGCTGCCCCAATGCAAACTCGGTAATGTGAGTTACACTGAAACACATTAGGAGGAAGAGCGGAGCAGGAGCAAGCTGCCGCCGGGGCCGCGAGAGAGGCCTCTGCAATCTGAGGATTCCGTTTTTTTAGTTGTTTTTCACTTCAGTCCTCTTTGTGGCTACGACCAGTTTTGAACTGTGAGCTGAGGCCGGTTACAAGGCCAGGTAATGTTCCCGAGTGGGCGGATGTCGACATTATTGACCGCGGAGTCTAACGGAGGTTCTTTGATGATGGTGAAACTTTTTTTATTTTGATTTTCTTGTGCATGTTGGCAGCAGCTTTGTTGACGAGTTTGAGCAGAGCTGGCTCGCGTCGTGGTCCGAAGGGCCTTCCAGGTGCCATGTTTGCTTCTGTTGACCATTGCATTCACTTCCAACACTTAGGAGGGGGGGTGTGAGATGGCACAACGGCAAACAAAGTGAGGGGAACGATACGGGTCTGACTTAATCAGTGGTGTCATGAGGACAAGTTGACAGTTGCAGCTTTCAGGCGCCTTGTTTTGACAGTTTGAAGATTGCAATAAGAAAATAATTGGTGGAAATGAAGCAGTTGGAGGTTCTATTTTGTGGAAAATTTTTAATTACAGTCATCTGATACTTTATTTTGGTCACTTGTTACTCAGACTGCCTGGAAACAAGTGTAGAGCTGAAGCGATTGGTGGATAAATCCAAAACTATTACGGTTATTAATGAACCGTGTATTTCTTTTGGTCATGGATACCTTTGGTTGGATTAAAATGAGCACTCTGAGTTAGTCACATTGGACTGAACAACATGGTGGGAGGTTAAACGTTGTTTATTTGCATATACGACCCACATTGTTTCCCTTTAATGACGTGGAACGATAAAGTCAAAAACAGTCTGCCTGTATGGTCCGATATTAATAACGTGTTTCACATTGATTTGGTATTTAATTGATGACACAATAATGGAGAGATTACAGTTAAATAATCAGTGTTTGTCCTTTTTAAGTCCCTACATTTGTGTTTGTTGATTTATGTATTCATCGCTCATTCGTTGAGATTAACCCGTTTATTTTAGACAAAACGTTGTGACAGCAACACTGAAACGCTTCTGCGATAGAGATTTAAATATTCAACAAGTTGGTGTTTAATTTCGTGTGTTCACATAAATGTAAAGTTGCTCAGTACTGGAGTATTTGACAGATTCCTAAACTGTAATACAGCCTCCGTTGTGACTGAGCAGAACTTTGGTTCTTTATAAAAGTTGACCTCATAACGTTGCTGTGGACGTAAAGCTGCAGCTGTTGCGCTGCAAATCATCGAGAAATAAAAACCTTCACATTTTTAGATGCAGCTTTTCTCACTGCCTCCAAGTAGCCCGACAGGACTTTCAGATCATTGGCAACGTAATGCCATGGTGTAAACACGAGCTATGTGCTGTCAAGCGCGCCTCTGTCAAGTTTTGGCTGTATCGGTGTGTGTTGGTTTACATTCTGGTCTGTGTCTGATCCACAGCAGGGGCCTACTACCCCGCCCAGCCTCAGTTCACCCCCTCGGTGCAGGCGGCGCCCGTCATTATGAACCCAGCCCCTCAGCAGCAGCAGCCGCAACCACCACCTCAGCCCCCCCAACACATCGCCACCAAGCGGGAACGGAAACAGGTACGGTCGCTATCCTGCATCACACTTACAACTTCAACTCCACCATTTTACCCACGGGGTGAACCTAGAACAGGCCTTTGAATAACATTGTTAAACATGGTGGAAACATCGATAGGAAAGACCTAAAAGAACTGTTCCTGAAATGGAAACTTTTGTTATCAGCTCTGTTTGGACTAGATCTGGTTATCAGTGAAGGTCAGGTACTGTAACTTGCTCTAGTATTTAGTGTTGAGTCCATCTGAATACATGATATCTGTGTTCTCTAGAACATACCAGACCCAAACAGCTACTGTGTGGCTACCGATGTGGCTGTATACATCTTGGTGATATTACAGACTAGCTAAATAATATTTTTTGGTTCTTGAATGATGGGTTTGATGCCTGCTCTGTACTGTATGTTGTGAGAATATAATGTTTCCTGCAACATGCACGATGCACCCAGGTACACACAACAATCGCACTAATCTGTAAACTTTACACAGAGTAAAGTCAGTGAGTGTCAGAACATCTGAGTTGTTCTCATGTTAGTCAAAACACAGATGAAGTCTGTTTCTGTAAATAATGCCATGAGTCCAAAACAGGAAGAAATGCCACCAAAGTGGAAATATTGACATATCAGTTATGAAACGGATCCAAATATTGTCGTCCTGCTGTTACAGGAATAAAAGGAACTGACCAAAAACAGAACGAAGTAAAGTATTCTTGAATATGTGGACCTATATCTATGAGTTTCTACCCGGGAACAAGGAGCTAGAGGAGCGAATGAAAGCAGCAAGTCCTCCTCAGAGATCACTGAGGGACGAGCACAGTTCTGTGTGAGGGGAACATGTCACCAATGTGAATAATCTGACTTCCAGATACACAATATGACAGTCTGGCTTCAGATGCTTTGTTTATTATGCTCGTCAAGTTGTTTACGTACATAAAAAAACACAGAATGATTTAGATAATATTAATTATCATGAGCTTGCCAGACAAAAATGCAATTAGTCTGGAAGCTCTCAGTTCATTTTTATTATCAGAGGCGTCGTCAACGTGACCAGATCCGCCCTGTGTAGATGGCCAATCACAGCACAGTAGTACCAGCCAATCGTAGCGCATCAGGGCGGGACTTGGCACAAAGCGGGGTGGGAATATAATATCACATGAGTAACGCAAAAATGTAAACAGCCTGCAGCGTGCAGGTGTGATATGAACTGGTTTATTTAACGATTGTCAAATCATGTCAGAAGGGAGAAGTTACTGTTTCAAGCACGCCCGTATTAGATCAATAGAGCAAATAAAAACATAAGCTCACAGATCCGTCTAGTTTCCAGGACTCTTCTGTAGATGGATTAGATATAGAACTACGCTTACCAGACTTCTGTATACGTGTATGTTCTGTATATAAGAAGTGGAAGTAGTCGCTGTGGCGTCACCCATTAGTTTGTGGACCGCCATTTCGAAGCCTCGCGTTCGGCACTTCGGCTGTTGCCATCTTGGTTTATTTGCAACCAAAGTGACACGAGGCAGTGGAGCTAAGTATAACTAAAAGCTGATTAACACAATTTTTAGGCGACCGAATTCTCGAAGTGAAGTGATAACACACTGTGAAAGGGTTGAAGTTGCACTGAAAGCTCCCAGCTACCTATCAATCACAGTAAGCCCCGCCCCTAAAGCATCCCCTGCTTTATGGTCTGTGTGACTCTAAATGGACCATAATGTACGAAATGAACATCATGCTGTATTGAAGAATACTTGAAACTAGAGATTGAGACCATCAACTCATGTTTACAATGTTTACTGAGGTAATAAATCAAGAGAGAAGTAGAGTAATTTTCTCATAGACTTCTATGCAACCAGATGAGTTGCCCCCTGGTGGACACTAGAGAGAATGCAGCTTCAACACATGAAGCTTTGGCTTCACTTTTCAGAACTGGAGGTTGCTATCTTGGCTAGCTGCTACAGGCTACATTAGCCTCTACTAACTTAACACACCGGAATTTCCACCGGAATGGTTGGTGGTCGCGTTGCATTGTGGGTAATGAAGGAAGAAGAATGCATTGAGTAAAAAAAAAAGACTCCATCTCTGGCTCTGCTATTTTGATCCTTTTTTTTTAGCTGTCGGTCATGAGTCCACCATTATGACAGAAGTGCAATGCTTAATAAGTGGAGTGCTCTGTTAATATTTAAGTATTTATAATTGAAGAAGCAGATTATGTTGTTATAAATGTGAGCCAGACAGATATGTTACATTGGGGCTTTAAAACTTTACCAAAAAACTACTGATTCTCTGAATGCTTTAACTGGACATTAGAGTCACTGTAAGCGACGGCTGTTTTGGATTGACCTTTTTCTGTGTTTATACAACAGCTCCCTCACAGTAATATGAACAAATAATACAGCAACCCAACGACCCGATGCTTTTTAGATAATGCAGGTCTGCGGTGTTGCAATCTCCCTCAGTGTGACTCCAGACTCGTTCTTGAGTCTGGACGTAGAGTTCAGTCCACTGATGGAAACAGATTGCGGTGAACTTGACCTTAACGTGGTTGCGGAGTGAGAGTGAGCTGCTGTGCGACATTTTCTACAGTATGTCTAGTGTTTCCTCTGCTCTCTAAGATGGCTTTCGCCTGGTATGTGGTAGCTCACTGTGAACTGTAGCCCCAGATGGTGCCTCTGGTGTACTCATCTTTTATTTGCACTCCTGTGATGCTGCTTACATTTGAGAAGTCATTTTTAGACGTTTCCAGATTCCCCAGAGACTCTTTTATCCAGCTAGAAATTAAAATATTCCATCTCCTACACTGTTCAGGGTTTTTTCAACCTCGTGGCTCTATTTGCGTTGTTTTCCCTTCGTTGCCCTGTTTATCGTCTGTGTCGGTGTGTCTTTAAATTTATTTTGGCTATCTCTGAGCTCTTACTACAGTTGGTATGGGTTTGTGATGAGGCTTTATCCTGTTTTTTGTACTTCATGTCGGGTATTCGTCTTCATCTGACCAAACATCCTAAATCTGACGTTATCCCCTGACTGCTTATCAGACTCTGCATTCTTGTTTTGGGGGTGATGCTCTTTGAGAAAGTAGGTCGAGATTTGGTGTTTTTATTTGAAGGATTAAGGATTTTAAGGGTTTAGTGTGGCCTTCTATCTGCAGGACAGTGTGGCTAGGTGGCTTTTTTTACTTATGTAGTTGCTTGCAAGTCTGAGAGAGAGAGAGAGGGAGAGGGAGGGAGAACTGTTATATTTCGAACTGCCAACATTCACCCGATTTATGCCGTTTAGTTCCTGGTTACATGCACAAAGTTGTAGCTTTGCACATTTATTTTTTTCCACTTTCCTACTCCTGCTCTCCCCCTCCCCGTGTGTCAGAGAGAAAAACCAGAGGGGATAGAGGGAGGGAGGGAGGTGAAGGACATGTCAGCACATAGCTCAGCTCCACGTGGCCACCGGTCTCCTCCCCCTTCTGAGCCGGAAGGGCTAACCAACCAGCCTTCCTCTGCTTGCTGCTGTGGCACCCCACTCCTCCTCCTCCTCCTCCTCCTCCTCCTGTACTGGTTTCCTCTGCCCTCAAAAGGGGCGGGCCTTAAAAAATAAGAGTGACTTGAGTGAGCAGGATGACAGAGCAGGCGGAGAGAGAATGAGGGGGAAAGGGGGGAGTTTCTCCTAATAGCTGCAGCTCATTTGATAACGCTAACTTGTTTTCGTCTTCCTGGAAACCCTCCTATCCCCCCCCCGTCCTCCCCCACTACTCTGCCCCCCCTTCACACTCCTGGCCCGTTAACTGTCTGGTAGCCTCTGTGGGAGGGTTTGCACATTCCAATACCATAGCTTTACAAGGCCAGTTGCTTTATCCTCTCTCTTTTTGTTCCCTCTCCCCCTCCCTGTTCTGTTCAGCGTATGTGAGAGAGAGAGAGAGAGAGAGAGAGAGAGAGATTTTCAAGTTGCTAGCTAGCTTACTGACAGTCAGGCCCAGCCCTGTTCTGCAGGCCTGTAGCTCTCTTATCACGGCCTGGATGTGTGCGAGTTAAACCGAGGAGGGGGGAAACTTCACTGGGCTACAGCCACGGGGTCTGTGGGGGTTTTTTAAAGTCCGCTGGAACGGCTACTCCGGCCCCAGGATGCCAAGAGGCCCGCTAGGGTTTGTAAGGCTCCGAGAGAGGAGTTGAACCAGAGGAAAAAAGGTCAGTGCCAACGAGCAAATATTGTTCTTAAAAACGCCCAAAGTAGGCCGGAGACTGTAGCAGCTCAACTCTTTTCACAGTTGAATCTCTGTCCAGGGACTTTATACTTTACTTTAAGCAGCGCTGTGACTCATACTAGTTGCATGACAGCTCTGGCTGCCGATGGTAAGTATGTAGCGTGTGAGAGAAAGAAAAGGGAGCTGGATGGAAAAGCATGCGTTTTGTAATGTATGGGCACTCCTTGTGAGGGATCAGATTATATTTTTCACTCCCCGATTGTGCTTTGCCTTCATGTGAGTCATAACAACTTCAACCAGCAGCGGAATTAGTTTGACCATCGGCCCTTTTTTTAAAGTCTGCCGACTCGATCCTCGGCTCAGTCAAACAGCACTGCGATGCGACTTAACCGGCCGAAGCACATTCAGCTGCGGAGCGGAGGAATTTGTTGGTTGGTTTTTCGGTGCCTCAGCGTTCACAGTGTGAGAAATGCAGCTTTTTCATTGAATCGGAGGCAGCCAGCGAGAGTCACAGCGCTGACGACTGCAGGCCGTTGCATCATGGGAAGGCAGCTCTCCTCTTACGTGTGCTGCTGTCCTCACCCCCAAAACATTTTCAACCCTTTTCTCTTTTGCGTTTGTGGAAGGGAAGTTCTCAAGTGCTTAATCCTCACGTACGGATTCATTTCCTTCTCTCCTTTCCTTTCCTGCAATCGTTTGTGCTCTCACCCTGACGAGCGACTCTCTTCCCTCTGCTCCACAGATCAGAATAAGAGACCCAAACCAGGGAGGTCGAGACATTACAGAGGAGATTATGTCCGGGGGCCGCAGTGGCTCTACCCCAACCCCACCACAGGTGAGCTACCGTACAGTTCAATCTGGATTTTTAGACGCATATAAAATGTTTTCATTGAAATTGAGAAATTGATGCATAGTAAAAAATGACTTTGCTGCCATATGCTTCTACTTAGCACTGTGTGAATGTCAGCGTAGTCCGTTATAGCATCTCAAGTATTTGAAACAAGAATTGACTTGCCTGCTCCGTCCATATGTTACCGCTTTATGGGGAATGCTGCCGATCGCCAGGACTCTTACATGTGTTACACTACAACCTGTCAAAAGCAAGCTGATCTATGGTTTGCTGTTGGAGTTCTGATGTCTGGTTCATATAGCCAACGAGGATCTAACGTGAAACTATTTTCTCTTTTGTCAAGTGGAAGAATGAGTGTTGTCCTCGCCACCCGGGTCATGCTTTACTTTCTGGTGTGTTGTGTTTCTCCCGACAGACGGGATCAGAAGGTACAGCGGTGGTCCAGTCCAACGGTGAGAGCGTCCCAGCTGCTGCCTCGCCGGCTCTGGTTAGACCAGGTGAGGGCCACATGCACAGTCACACAAGTACAGGTAAAGGACAGGTTTTACAATGAAACACTATTGAAGATGTTGCTTTTAAGAAAAACAAACAGAAAAAAGAGCTGAAGAGAGAGACGCGCATAGATATCTATGGACTGGATTTTATTTATTTAATATTTCTTCATTTTGATTTATTTCTTTATGTATTTTATTTATTAGTTATTTACATTTAAATTAAATGAAATCACGCTCACCAGAAGGTCATTCTTATTTTAAAGTCGTTTTTGTTGTTTTTTTTTCACACAATCTTAGGGGCGAGCATTGGATATTAGCAGTAGTAAAAAATGCTCTGATACACTCGATTGGATAATTGTTGTGCAATTCTACATGTATATTTATTTGTAAATAAACATGAAATTAAATTACCATAATGCATAGTATATACACACACTGCAAAAACAGCGTTGGGCTAGTTTGAACGTAGTTTTCAAAGTTTTTTTGTACTCGCTAAATGGTAATTTACTACATCTAACGTAGAATATACAGCAATACGTTGAGTATATTTGGTATATCGCCCACTTCTAGTTGGATGCATGACATACACAGAGCGTGTGTGTGTGT